GACTGATGGGGGGGGGTATAATTGCCAGTTTGCTTGTTGTGAAGAGGAATAATTAAAAAGAAAGGAATGAATCAGAAATGAATCAGAATCACTTAATGATGGAATACATTCACTTAAGAGTACAGTTTCTTTATCTTCTGGGTGAATTATGCTATACGAAGTGTTGAAAGGATATTTCAGCCATTTTGAAGTGGTGTTCCTGGGTGAAGGTTAGGAATTAACATCATATGTTGTAAACAGCTTTTTGGACAGTCTCCTGTCCGACTCCAGATGAAAACTYAACGGGAACAGTGCATCAAGAGCATTATTCAATGTGCCTAAAACATGTACCAAACATATTTTTAGAATGTATGTTTGGTATTTTTTTAAATGAATCAGCACTACAGCCTAACAAGAAAAAAAAATTGTCAAAATAACAGCGCTGCTAAAAGAACCTAGATATCCAAACGTCTGTAGTGAGTAACATCATTTTCAGGTGTTTTTATTCATCAAAGGGAGGCTATCCCTTGTCTTACGCTTGTCCAGACCTCTCTTTTCACATCTGAACCTACAAAAATCATTTTCACTTATGTACTATATTGCCAAAAGTACTTACTCACCTGCCTTGACTCACACRAGTATGTGACTTCCCAGTCCTAATCCATASGGTTCARTATGATGTTGKTYCACCCTTTGCAGCGAGAACAGCTTCAACTCTTCTGGAAGGCTGTCCACAAGGTTTAGGAGTGTGTTTGTGGGGATTTTTGACCATTGTTCCAGAAGCAYATTTGTGAGGTCATATGTTGGACGAGAAGACCTGGCTCTCAKTCTCCACTATAATTCATCCCAAAGGTTAGYGTTGTAGTCAAGACCATCTAACCCGAGTCCAAGTCAAGACCAAGACCACAGTGTCTCGAGAGCGAGGCAAGATCAAGGCTTTTACGGTTTGGACCAAGTTGAGACCAAGACCGAGGGAGGGCGAGACCGAGACAAGACCAAGACCAGATAAATAAAATGTTTCCTAAAAGATGGAGTGTTCTGTACACATGTACAGTGGGGGAAAAGTATCTCATATTTGAGGTCTAACTATGATGTCAATCACAGGCCTCTCTCATCTTTTTAAGTGGGAGAACTTGAACAATTGTGCTGACTAAATACCCCCCCCCCCGACTTTAGCTAACTTAATACGTAGAGCTAATRTTGACAAAATCTTTGTGTGAGGGCAGAGGAAATAATTTTGCTACAGAGGCACTACAGATTGTTAATGTTGCTACAGATTGTTAATGTTGGTACAGATTGTTATTAGTGACAGTAAAAGTTTAAAGTTGTCTCCATTGTCTCTGAAAGTAAAGCACTGCCGAATGTACAAGTTGCTGTAGGCTTTCTCCTGATTGTTGTTGTTTTACAATGATATTATTTATGAATAATGTAGCCAAATTTTATACTTAAAACTTTGAAGACATCTTTTACCGCTCCCAGAGAACCACTGCTTACTTTCCTTGGAGTACTGCGTGCGAGTGAAGAGAGTGACAGCCAGTAACAAAAATACATAAATAGCAACGAGTCAGGTTTGGATTTGAATCAGTAGCTACATTTTAAATCCAATGAAAGCATGAATGTTAAAGGCACAGTGTGTAGGATTTTGTCAATTCTTTTAGCCGAAATTGAGATAATCACTAATGATAATAATAAGAAACATGTCTAACCATTGCAGACAAAGACCTTGTTTTTTATTTTTACCTTATAAAAAGCTGTTTATATCTCCATGGTCACAGGTCGCCACAGAGGCAGCCGCCATCTTGCACCGCCATCTTGTCCACGAAGGCTCATGAAGGACAAACTGCGGTGGCGGCGTCAAAAACGGTTTTAGTTGTAATACTATAAATGTAATATTTGTTGTCTGTCATTGTAGCTGGGATAATTTTACTTATTAAAGCTCAAAATCTCACCACTTGAAACA